ATTCTCGATCTGCATCAATATGCGAGTCGGTCTAGCTATGTTCGTATGTATTAATGCAAGCAACCTATAAGAGCTAGGGAATTGAAATTTGGAATGTAACTCTTCCTAGTGCCCGCGCGGTACGAACTTGTTTCCGATAATCGATAACTTACCAAATAATCGATAAAAATCGATATTGTTTAAATAATATTTGTTTTTGTTAAAGAAGAAAGCTAGAATGGTCGCAACGGCAGCTAAGGGTATCTGCTAGTCGAGCACTCTTGCTTACTCTACACGCTCAACTGAGGGCGAACGAACTTTGAACTGAAAACAGGCACGGAAATATTGTGTCAATGCTAACCACAAGCCTATCGAATGCCGACAGCAATTAGGCAAAAGCCGCCGAAAAACTTGATGCTTCCTCGTAAAATACGTTAATGTATTTGAGCTCTATTTGCTTTATCAAGAACGGAGCATATCCGGCTATTGCAACAGTTTTCCAGGGTTTCTCTGTTTCGTTTGTAATCTTAGCTCGAAATTAGCGCGAGGCTGCAGATACAGATACGAATACGGTTGCAGATACAGATACATGTCATAAGTGCGTGTGTCTAAATGTTAGTTGCCGCCGGCTCACGCTTTGTTGCATCACATTTCCTTCAACCCATAAGCCCCAATAAGCTTGTATGTGGCACATGCGCGGCGTCAGAGGCTGTCAGTCAGATACAGATACAAAGATACATTTGATAACAAGCGCAGAACAATGAGTGCCAGCAGCGAAACGAGCACAAAATGGAAAACGCCGCTTGGGGGCCCCTAAACTAGCAAACAACTAACAACGAGTTTCTGTTGTTGTTTTTTAAAGGGTATTTAGGAAGGCATACAAAGTGCGTAAAGCATATGCAAAGTTTAGAGAAGTATTTACTACGCTTTTCAACACTATTCAAAAGATTTTGTTTCTTTAGCTCTTAATAAGACTTTGTTCAGAAAATCTTGAGATAGCGCATCTTTTCTGAATCTGGGAACTTGGAAGCAAAGCATATAATAGAACAACATTAAAACAACTCCCTTATTCTCAGGAATTCCAATTTTTGTAAAACCTATTTACAGTTACGATGTAATCTTCAAGAAACATTAAAACTTACCCGGGGTATAACAAAGTTGAGAACTCCGACTGGTTATACCCTTGCAGAGGGTATCATTATTTTGTCTCCAAATGTGTAACAGTTAGAAAGAGACACATCCGAGGTTATATAGGTATATATATACTTGATTAGTACCAATAGCCGAGTCGATATAGTCATTCCCGTCTGTCCGTCCGTCCGTCTGTCAAATTCTATGCGAACTCGTCCGTTTTAAAGCTTTCATCATAAAACTTTGCAGAAGTCTCTCTTTCTGTTTGATGAAGTACATATGTCGAAATTGAGTGGATCGGACTACTATATTATATAGCTGCCATAGGAACGATCGGTCGAAAATTAGGTTCCTTTATGGAAAACTCTTTTTCTCAAGATATCTTAACCATACTCGGCCTTCACTATTTACCCTGTGCTTCTTAGATACGAGCATTATGAAAAGGTTCGCTTTGCAAGGGTATTAAATCTTCGGCATGCCGAATATAGGTCTTTTTCTCGTTATTGTGTTCAGCTCCGTTCGCCGTATCAATCATAATTAGGCATGCAATAAATGTAAGTTTCCAAAATACTTTTGGATGCGTGTAATTATATGTTATGTACACAGACATCCCGTCCAGCCACAGCCTAGACTTTTAGCTAGGTTTTACATGCGTGAGAATTCATCAGCTTTTTCAGGGGTTATCTGGGGCTGCGCTCGGCTTGGCCTGCAAGTTTAATGCGCTTGCCCACATAAAATGTTTAATGTTTTTAATGTTGGCATAAAGTGTGTTATGTCTTTTCGTGTAATTATATTTCAATTTTAGTCGCGCTTGATTGCCACATTTGCCGTGCTGCGCCCCTCCCTCAAGAAAAAAGAAAAAAAAAACCCAAAAACCCGAAGCGCAGGCGTTTCTAAGCGTTTCAATCCTATGAAAATTGTGTGTGTGTGTGTGTGGGCTCACAAGATGTTGAAGCCTCAACAGTTTGTGGCACATACACGACTGCTGTACATATATATATATATATATATATATGCATATATATTTATCGGGTGTCCGATCCCCGAACTTTGCGCTCACTGTGCTCAGCTCAAGCGACATATGTAAATATGTATCTAGATGCGACGTTATGTAGATGAGTGCTGCCACCTACAAAGTGCCAAGTGCTGGAGTTTAGGCCTCAGTTTTCGTTTTCTATTTGCACAGGTGTTTTTAGCACCTGAGCCCAAAGTATCTGGCCTTACGGGGGCACTTCCCCCGACCCCCTCAACGTTAAGTGCTAAAAGGCATTTGGCTGCACTTTTCTGTAATAATTAGCACATCATGACTCGCAAACAGCGGCAACTACCAAAAACAGAGAGAAAATCCCTCGCCTTTGTCATCTGCCACACATTGCCCCAAAGGGGCGTAAATTATGCAGGTAGATAGATGGACACTGGAGCGTGTGATGTTTATTTAATGCCAAACTCTAAAGTGGAGCATTTAAAATGGGCAAGAAAAGTGAGAATAAAACGAGCTTGTTTAAGAAGTAGCAAGAATGAGAAATATATATATATAATATATATATATTTAGATATATGAGCATATTGTTTATTCGTGTATTAGAGTGTTACGTATTATTTAGCAGAGTATTAAGCCCGTGTAGAAGCATGAATAGAAAACATGCCTTAAAGTAGTTTGATAAAATATGAATATTAATGTATATGACTTACTACCATTGAGCAGGAAAAACCAAGCATAGAAAGACAAGCCTCGTGAAAATCAGATGAGTTTTGACCGAGTTATGGGGATGGTAAGTTTTGACCTATGTCTATAAGGGATAATAGCGGGTATACCCCGGCTTTGCCCGTGGCAGGAATAAAATAAATTCTCTCAAAGATCTTTGAAAAAATGTTTGTAACCGGACGGACAGTAAACCAAAAAGTTTCATACACACGGTTTTCGCGTGTTTTCCACGCTTGCGGGTGGAATTACCACAGTGAAAATCCTAGGTCTTATGTTGCGCTCAGCCTTCAGTCAGTCCGTCAGGACAAATAGTTTTTTATATAGAAATGTGAACACCTGTTGCCATGATTTCTGGCATGAAAATAGTTCTCCAATCCCTTGAGACCCTTCAAGAGTTCTGCGCGTCTTTCATATGTGAGTTTTATCCATGAGCTTTAGGCCACGCTCTGTACAATTACGCGCCTATTCTTTGGCTCTCAACTTTCTATGGCTTTCATTAGTGTATTTCACAACTTCACGATGAATAAGTTTCCCACGAAAATGTTGAATGAGTGTGGACGGGCCAGGAGGAGAGTTAAGAAAAGATTGGGAAGATCTGCCCGGGGCCAAAACACGCGCCGAGAGGCAGTTAAGCGCCCAATTTGTGGCATAATTCAATTTTGCTTATGGATAAACGCAAACCGGTTCGGCTAATAATAAAGATTTAAAAGCTAATTGGCTCATTTACAAAAAAAAAAAATAAAGCGAAAAAAACAACGCTCAGAAAATAGTAAAAAATCATTATAAAAATGATGATGAATGATGATTGTTGTCGAAACGTGCAACATTTGCGCAAATCAGCAAATTCATAAGCCTCAATGTCACATGGGGCGAGGGGCGCATTCACGATGCTGACTGGCTCGAAAAAGAGGGGAATAGGCGGAGAGGGGGCAGTTGTAGGTGTCCCCCAATTTTGAAGCGTCTCAAGTGCTGCGCAATTGAGCTCCCATTTTCAGCTTAGCCCCAGCTCGTCTCAAGCTGGGCTACAAAATTAATTAGACAAATAGTATACTATTTTGTAAACGCAGCGCGCAGCTTTTTTCATTTTCCTGTTTTTTCTTCTTTATTTTTGCAAATTGAAAAACGCCCCGTTTGGCGCCCGCGCTGACTTTTATCGCGCAAGTCATTAACAGCGGAATTGGGCCATGAAAACGAAGGGACAACATCGATAAAATCAAGAAGAAATACAAGACTTTGCGCTTGAATTCGAATTTTGTATGCCCTTAAATGAGCTTCTTAGCATTATGAGAATACCACTTTATTAAGTGTTATCGATATATATCGATTTATGTTCCAAGAGCTGCGTGGCTTTTATGAAAATTCTATACTATAATCAAACAATTTACGAGAGACACAAGACTCGTTCCTTGGATTATACATTTGTATGCCCCAAATTAAGTTTGTATCTTGAGAATGCGAGAGCGTTTCTTATTGTTATCGATATATATCGATGTAATATTTCGAGAATTGCAGGACTTTTAGAGAATTTCTAGAAGCGTCTTACTGGAATCATACAATCAGCAACAAATAAAAGACTTCTCTCTTGAATTCGAATATTTTATGTTCTAAAAACAGTTTTTTTTTTCTGGGAACACAGGGTTTTTACTTTATATCGATATTTATCGATATGCGTTCCACGATTTGCAGGATTTCTGGAAAAATTTTCAGCCTCGTCTAAAAATAATCCTACAATCTATCGATACAATAGTCGCAATACTCCCAGACAAACTTTATTATTGCTTTTCATTTATTTATAGCCCGAACTATGAAAAATAGTCCATCAATAGTTCCTGGACAGTTCCAGCACGCATCCCAGACATGAATATCTATTGTCTAGCGTATTGTCTGCATCAAATAGATTCCTGCTAATATTCGAGTGTTAAGACTTAAACACTCATTAATAAATTGGTTTCTTTCATTCTCAAGCATTTAAATAAAGCGTTCAGTATTCAAGTTTTTATGAAGGGAATACCCCTATCTATTCGAAACAAGGCCGAAATTTCTTTTGGTTAGGGTATTTCTGGAAAGGGACAACTGTGATCAAATTAAAGCAGCTCCAAATGGTTGACAAAAAAGAAAAGAGTGATAAAACGTAATCTTAAAGGGGGGGGGGGGGGGGGGGGGGGGGTTGGGGGGCTTTACTCACTTGCGTGCCAGTCTTTTTCTGATGCCCGCGAACATTTTGGCTGCTTCCTCTTGCTGCGTTGTTTCTCTACTGTTTTTTATGGGTTTTTGCTTCAGTTGGGCTCCTTGAAAGCGTCTTATTGTAAATGAAATTGCTGATTTCCGGCTGGACACACGCACACACGCACACGCCCGAAAAGGGCCAACAACAACAATAACAACGCTACGAATTAATTAAAAAACGCGCGCGCCAAAAAACGCGCACGAAACGCGCACGCGATTGTCGCACAGTTGCTGCTGCTGCTGTTCTTGTTGTTGTTTGTGTATCAGCAAATTGTTGTTGTTATTGTTAATGTTGTTGTTGGCATTGAAACGGCGCATTGCAAGAAACAACAGCAACAGAAATCAATTAACCAAAGTAGCCGCAAAGGCAGCTGCAACTGTTTTATTTAATTTTTCTCTTCAGTTTTATTTATTTATTTGTTGTTAACACGTTTTTGCGTTATGCAATCACTCGACTATTTTTCACTGTGTACGCGCGTGTTTTTGATCAATTGAGCAATGCTTTTAATACACTTGCAGAAATCAATAAGCTGTCGACTTCATGGAAATCATCTGGCCCATTTCTTTGCGCACACAAATACCCTGGGATTTACATATGTAGGAGTTGGGGGGTTCCAGTTTTATTGTTGTTGCTGCAGCTGAAAAGAGCCAAAAGAAATGCACACATTATTTTCAAATATTTCAACTCTATTTTAGCCAAGAGGGAATAAAAGAGGGGAACAAAAAGTTAGCCAAAATATTTGACATTCATAAATATTATTCAATACTCTCTTTCGTGTGGGGTATTATCAGCTTGGCAAGGCTGTTGGCATTGATATTGGGCTGGGCATAATATGAAAATCTTGTTTCTCAACTAAGTTTTTCCCAAAAATTGATTGTCCTATAGAAATCGTTTAACTTAATTGAAAAACATAATAAAATAAATTCCAAGATATTTTCTATTAATCTTGAACTTATCTATATAATAACTAACTATCGGTAATTAATACATAGATAAGTTCGAGAACACACTTTTTTGAGAATTCTGTAAAAATAAGGTATACAATTGAAAGAAACATTTTCGGATGCTATTTGCTGGAGAATTCCTGTGTCGCGCAAGTTCTTTTGTACTGAAAGAACATTTTATATCTTTGTCATTTCAAATGAGAAGTTTAGTTGAGAGAAGTTCCGGGTTAAGATCAATTAGAAGGCGTCATATCGAGCAGATACTTAAGTTCCTATTTATGCTTGGGAATCTTGCAGCATGTAGAATCGATTTATATAATTGACGTGTCGAGTGACAAATTAAAATGGGCTTCAAAAAGGGGCTGCATTCGCTGAGGTCTTGAGGTTCGCATTGTGTGTAAATATACAGATTTGTGTGTGCTTTTGCAGCAAGATTTATGAGTTTTCAATGTGATGTAAATAAGCGAAATTTGTGAGTGCAGCTGCTTGTAGAATTTCCAGCGCAAGAATTTATGTAAAAGAATAAAACAAGAGAGAGAAAATCTTTTACAAAAGCAGTTTAAAAGCAATGCTAGATCCGACGCGAAATTTGGAACTATAGAAATTCACAGCGAACATCAATCATAGCGCGTGTAATTAGAGTTGCCCAAAAAAAAGAAGGGTTACACAGATACAGATACAGATACAGATACATATAAAGTACAGATACGGATACAAATACATTTACAGATGTAATTATGCACGGTTGCGCCCTAATGGCGCATTTCGTTGGCAGCCAACGGGGCCAAAGGGCGCACGGGTGGCATGCACTTGGCGCAGATACAGATACAAAGAGAGAGAGAGAGAGAGAGAGAGAGAGGGAGAGGGGGAGATACAGATACAAAATGAGGCAGCCAGCATGACAAAGAACATGTTTCTACATGCGAGAGCGATTCCCCGCTCGATTCGGAGTCGGAGCTCGGTGCAGCAAGCGTGAAAGAAGAACAAACGCACAAACTCACGCACGCTCCGCAATTGTATCTGTTGCTGTAAAAGTATCTGTATCTGTAGCTGTGCCTGTAAATGTATCTGTGCCTGTAGCTGTTGTATCTATCGGAGATTGCAACACGTACAATTCGTGCATACAACAAAAGCTGTCGCGGCCAATATTGACGAGGCCTCAGCTCCAACTTCCCAGCCCCTGCCCCTGCCCCATCCATCCTGCCCCCTTTTCCCGTGCAACAGTTGCTTTTTGTTCCCATCATGTTCCGCATTTGGTTGCGCCGCTATTTTAGGTCGTTTCTCCCGGTTTTCCAGCAACGGAAACCTGCAACATACGATATGCTTCAGCGCGCGTGCAATTACCACCGCAAAACATCGCACAGCAATGCGAGATGTGGTTAGCCGGACGGGAAAAGGGGGGAACGGTTCGGCGGGGTAGATTGGGATTTGACAAAGTGAAATTCAAGTGCCCCACCGAAAAATACTTGTTGTTGTTGTTGTTATATTAACTATAGCTGTTAGCACAACAGAACAATAAGTTGGCCCAAGCGAAAGAAACAAATGTTCTCTTGACGTAATTCCGAGGACTTACACAAGTGCTCCAATACACTGAGAGAAACGAGGGCTACGATACAAATAGTATTGCCGGGTTAATGCCAATAAAGATGTAAAAATATTGATTTACTTAATACTTGCTAGTATATTATTTAATATACCCAATATACTGGCGAGTATTAAGTAAAAGTAATTATTTTTAAATTTTAAATGAATTTCAAATCAATTCCCATCATTTTCCACCCATGTTCCACAAGCGTTGCACGTATTCTTCCACTGTCTGGAGTAGCTTTTAAATAAAGTCCAAAGCAGAAATATGAGTTCAATACAAATTTCCCAAAACTTACTCCTTAAACATAGATTGAAATTTATTGGAATATAATTGAGAGTGAGACCATATTTATTATTTTTCTTTTCAATAGTTTGTAAATGTTATTCGATTTTCGCTCAGTGTACACAGCCCCATTTTGATTGCTTCACACAAACTATGCACTTCTGCTGACGCCCACCCATTCGCCCGGATTGAATAACAAAGCGCTGTGGCATCTCCTTCGGAGTCCGCTGACAGCGTCAATTGTGTCCGTCCGGGTGGTCAGTCGCCAGATTGAAAGCACAATTCGCTTAACTGGCATGGAATTTGCATCAGTTGCTTGCTATTCATAGAGTTCACATAGAGTGGACGCGACTCGGCTGATGCCTGCCTGGGATTATGATATATTTATGACAGAGCCCAAACTGATTCCTGCACAATGCGCACAATAGAAGTGGGTGCGAGTCGAGGCTGGGCTTCCACATTTCTATTCAGTTGGCATATTTCTAATTCAAAGCGAATAATATTTTAATTCAATTCGAAAAGCGAGCATGTCAGACTTTTCCTGAGTTGTGAATTCTGTTCTATAATCGTGAAAAGGGGGTAAACATTTAGACAGTTCTCAGAAAGTAGAACTTAGACCTTAATGCAACACATATTAAATTGTTTTAAGCAATCCAAAGGTAATCAGTGAACCTAAGAAGTTGTTAAGTTAAATTATGTTAAGTTATATTATGTTAAGGTATATTATGTTAAGGTATATTGTGTTAAGTCATATTATGTTAAGTTACATTATGTTAAGTTATATTCTGTTAAGTCATATTATGTTAAGTTACATTATGTTAAGCTTAACATAATATGACTTAGCAGATTAACTAATCTACCTTTAATTATTTATGTGGCCTGCTAGAAAATGGAAATTTTTGCAAATAGGGCACACTTCTGTAAATAAATTCCTTTAATTTGTAGCCCATAAAAGGCTTTGATGCTTTTCGGTCTAGAAAGTGTTTAATTAAGATGTCTGCGAGTGCATTCAAGTTTTCACAACTCCAAAGATAAATTTTGCTTGTGGTTAAATTTTATTCAAAAAAGTTTCTAAAGCCACAAGAACTTAAGTTGTATTTCATTTTGTTTTTTTTTTTTTATATCGTAGAGTTCGAATCCGAGGAACTTGAAATAGTTTTTCAAGCTAAAGTTTTGCGTGCGCTAATTGCAGTCCAAGCTCGAGTCTTGTTGGGGCCACTCTGAAATCACTGGAGGGGGAGGTCTGATGGGGCGAGGGGGGGGGGGTGGCGGAGTAGACAATGCGCTTTAATATGGACTAGTCTGCCACTGATTTAATTACAACTAAAACTAAAAGGCAACAACAGACTTTCAGTCTGTTTTTTGTTTTTGTTTGTAGTTTTCCCCTTTATTCCCCTCTAATTCCGCCACGACAAGCGGAAAGCGGCAGCGAATGAAAAACGAGGCACGAAAATGCGTTGCGCAAATGTGCGAAATAAAAATTTCATAACGTGAAATGAGCGCAAATAACTCGAATGCAAATGCAATTTGGGCACGTCGAACAGTCCGGGCCAAGAATCAACTGATGGATGTGGCTTGACTATACATATAGCTATATATATATATATATATATATATAAATGTAGTAGAACTGGGGGCCTGTTTGAACTCGCGATTGAGTACTCACATTCATACACTCGCATTCATATTCATATTCATATGCTGCAGCGCCCGCCTGTCTCTGACTTTTCTGCTTTCGTCTGTTTCGTTTATAATTAAACCTAAACGCACTCACGCACTCGCCGCGCAGCCCATTTATGAATTTTGCCAATAATAAACAACAGCCAGAGATCCCCATTTCAGTTATTAAAAGCGACTCCATCTCCTACAACTCCGCCGACTTCTCGTCCCAGCTGCCAGTTGCCAGTTGCCACTGCAGTTGTGTGTTTCGGCTGCTGACAGCAATTTTAAATGCAAATCTTTGCAGTTGTGCGTTTCTTTTTTTTTGCCGACTTTATGAGCTGCATGCATATGAATATATACATATCCATATCTATATATCCACTCAGCTGCTGTGATGTGTCGCCAAGACGCGCGCCGCTGCTAAACAAAAACTGTGCCCCGCATGCCCCATGCCCCATGCCTCAAGCCTCATGCCCCATGCCTTGTGACGCAAAGTCAACAAGTTAGAAAGACGCGACTCGAATTGACTTTGATATACCCGCACCCAAATCATATTAAATCAATATGATATATATATTGATACTAATACTAAAAGGGCATATTAATGCGCTCATATTTAGCTCCAAACACCTCCATGGTCACTTTTTTGTGCCCGCGCCTTTG